GCCCAGCGGCTCTCTCTCCGTTCCCCGCCCGCCCCGAGCCGCTGGGGTGGAGTTAGCGGCGGAGGTGCCCAAATTCTCCACCAGCTCCGCACCCCTGCCTGGCGCAGAGCAAACTTGAAGTTGGGATCAGGGGAAGGTTTGGGGGTGCAGCGGGGGTTGCAGCTAAGTCTGCGCTTGGAACCTTCGTGAGAAGGACGCGGGCCTCCGGGAGACTCGAACTCTCACCTCTGCGCGCGGGGAAGACTCGAATGCAGGATCCGAAAGCGCAATTTGAGAATCGAGAGCAGAAATCAAACTTGCAAAAAATGCAGAACCGAGGGCAACTCTCCCCCCATCCCCCCACCTAACAGGCGTAGAGTTACATTCACCGCACGCGGCGGGGTCTTGGCAGCATTTTTGCGAAACAAAAACGAGTGAGAAGCGAAGCGCGCCGCTTTCCGGGGCGTCTAGTCCCCCGTGGGTCGCGGCAGAGCAGCTCTCCTGTCCCCGCAGCAAACATCCTCTGCCGGGGCGCCACCGCCCCCTGGCGGGAAAGGCACGAGTTGCAGATTTGCTGGGCGGCCAGTCCCCCAAAGCAGTGGTTCTCAACCTTCCTAATGTCGCGACCCTTTAATACAGCTCCTCATGTTGTGGTGACCCCCAACCATAAAAGTATTCTCGTTGCTACTTCATAACTGTAATTTTGCTACTGTTAATAATCGTCATGTAAATATCTGATATGCAGGATGTATTTTCATTGTTACAAAGTGAACATCATGAAAGCATAGTGATTCATCGCAAAAACAATATGTAATTATCTATGTGTTTTCCGATGGTCTTAGGTGACCCCAGTGAAAGGGTCGTTTGACCCCCAAAGGGGTCGCGGCCCACAGGTTGAGAACCGCCGCCCCAAAGGCACATTTGTGTGGTTCCTCTATGTCGCTGGGGCCCAGTTCCTTCATTCCTCAACAAAGACCCATTTGTGCGGTCCCTCTATGTCGCTGGGGCCCAGTTCCTTCATTCCTCAAAGGAACTATGATACCTACCGGGAGGGTGATTGTGAGGCCTTGGCTCAGAGGAAGGGCTCAGTCTACAGCGGTCCTCCACATGGGGGTAGGGGGGGGCAGTCCAAGACCCCCAGTGCATGGCTAAAAGGTGGATAGTACCCAACTCTATAAATACTTTTTTCCTAGACATACCCATGATAAAGTTTAATGTATAAGCTGGGCATAGTAAGAGATGAACAGTAACAACTAATAAAGTAGCACTATAACAATATAGTGGAATAAAAGTTATGTGAACGTAGTCTCTCTGTCTCGCAAGATAGTTTTTGTTGCGCTGTCCTCACCTTTTCACCTAAAGGGAGCACTTTACGGCTTCGCTTTGACATATCTGATTGCCAGCATCACTGTTCTTGCACTTGGGGGCCATCGGTAAGTAAAATCTGGGTGACTGGAACACAAGCACTTGTGATGACTCACTGTCGATCTGGTGAAGGCGCCCGCTACGAAGGGGAGCACTCACGCCGCCGACACAATGGACAAAGGAGTGATTCCTGTGCGGGCGGGGCGGGAGCAGGGCAGTGCAGGGTTTCATCACGCTACTCAGAACGCTGTGCAATTTAAAGCTTATCAATTGTTCATTTCCGGAATTTTCCATTTAATGTTTTGGACCAACTGCCCATTTAATGTTTTGGACCAAAGTGGAACGAAGGTAACTGAAATTGTAGAAAGCAAAACCGCAGATAAAAAGGGGGGGGGGGGTCCATTTAATGTTTTGGACCAACTGAAATTGTAGAAAGCAAAACCGCAGATAAAAGGGGGGGGGGGACTACTGTGTTTTTGTTTTGTTTTGTTTTGTTTTTGTTCATTCTCACCCAAGGATATTTCTCCGTTGATTTTTAGGGAGAGTGGAAGAGAGAGGGAAAGGCAGAGAGAAACATCGATGTGAGAGAAACACATCGATTGGTTACCTCTTGCAGGAACCCCAACCACGGCCTGGGCTGGGGAGGAGCCTGCAACCAAGGTACATGCCCTTGACTGGAATCGAACCTGGGACCAGACCGATGCTCTATCCACTGAGCCAAACCGGTGAGGGCAGGACTACTGTGTTTTGATGGCAATCTAGTTGGCGGCAATATTTATTCCTTATAGAGCCTTCCTTCCGGTGACGGTGTGGCCCTCCCTGGCCACCTGCCTCACAGCGCTGTGTTTAATTTTCTTCAGGGCATGTATGGCTGCCCGAAACTTATTTGTATGTTTCCTTCTCCTGGTTTATGACCCCAGCGCCACAGGGCAGGGACCTGGTCTGATTTGCTCACCAAGTGCCTAGCACATAGTAGGTGCCCGATCCATAATCATTCAAGGAATGAGTGAACCGTGAACCAGTCCATCTCAGGACAGGCCCCGGGGTCTTACTGAATCCTCACCACCTTAGCAATTACAGATACGGAAACTGAAGTCACTTGTCTTAGGGCTTGCCTTCTATCTTTTTAATTTATTTATTTATTTTATTGATTTCAGAGAGGAAGGGAGAGGGAGAGATAGAAACATCAATGATGAGAGAGGATCAGTGATCGGCTGCCTCCTGTATACTCCCTACTGGGAATCAAGCCCACAACTCGAGCATGTGCCTTTGACTGGAATCAAACCCAGGACCCTTCAGTCTGCAGGCCTACGCTCTAGCCACTGAGCCAAACCAGCTAGGGTTTGGCTTCTACCTTTTATTTCTTCACACAACATCCAGGTTGATAGCGTCTGGGTGCCAGGCCCTGTGATACAGCAACAGCTAAAATAGCTCCTGCCTGCCCAGGACTTGGTCAAGGCTGTTTTATTTATATGACAAACCTGAATACAGTACGATGCCAACTACTATTTTAGCTGCTTTATATGTAACTCATTCCATCCTCCTAATAACTATACTATTATTATCCCCATTTAAAATATATGTTCATTCATTTCAGAGAGGAAGGGGGAGAGAGACAGAGATAGAAACATCAATGATGAGAGAGAATCATTGATTGGCTGCCTCCTGCACGCCCCCTACTGGGGATCGAGCCTGCAACCCAGGCATGTGCCCTTGGCTGGAATCGAACCTGGGACCCTTCAGTCCGCAGGCCGATACTCTATCCACTGAGCCAAGCCAGCTAGGACCTGAGTATTTCTTTACCAGATGTCAAAGCATGTTTTATCATGCTTACTTCTAAGTTTACTATTTTTTATTTTTTTGTTAATCCTCACCAGGGGATATTTTTTCCCCATTGATTTTTGTTTGTTGTTTAAGAGAGAGTGGAAGGGAGGGAGAGAGGGCAGACAGAGAAAGAGGGAGAGGAAGAGAGAGATCTATGTGAGAGAGACACATCAATTGGTTGCCTCCTGCACTTGCCCCAACCAGGGCTGGGGAACAAATCTGCAACCAGGCACGTGCCCTTGACCAGCATGGAATCTACAACTCTTTAGTGAGTGGGTCGAGGCTCTAACCATTGAGCAACAACAGCCAGGGCAGGAGTTTTCTATTTTTTAAATAACAATGATATGATAAATTCAAACTAATTATGAAAAAAATATCCCCTAATATTGTTCACATATCCATGTTCTCATTTGCTGATATTTTTGAAATACTATTTAACTGGAAATTGTTTTTATGATTCCCTGTTGATAAAACTGACTCAGCATTTGATTCTTTTTCATTAACAGAGCAGGATCTCAAATCCGTCTCCATTTCAATCTGTAATGATTTGCTCCAAATAGATAATAAAGGCAGCTACCAATAATCGTTATATACAAACTCATTTTTAGATATAGAAGTATATTGAAGATACTTTTTCAGTGAAATTTGACATAGAAACAATGTTCCAATGTTGTATATGAAAAGGAATTTCTGCTTGCACTAATTATTAAGATGAGTCAAGCATGTAGGCTGGAGGGAAAGGAAGTATTTTAATAGCCACGTGAAAGCGCGAGCACCTCTTTTTTGATGTTGAACAGATCCTGGGACTGGTAGGGACCCTTGAAAGCTCGGTGATTAAATTAAGCAGCACTGAAGACCTAAATTGCTTTTGTTAATGTGATGTCATAGAAAAACTATGATCGTAACGTTTCTGGAAAGCTGGAAGGTGAATTGCAAAAACGTAAAAGCAGATCTCAGAAACTCATCTGTGCAAAGGCAGAGGGCTGCTGGCCATAGTCCTGGGTGGAGATTCTGGCGTCTTGCAAGCCCTTCGGCACTTGCACATTACCCCTGAGTACTGAGGCTCTGGGAGACCTGCTGGCTGCACCACTCTCCCTGTTGGAAACTTCAATTACTACACCTTCTCCACCCCCAGCCCCGACTCCCCCCTGTCCCAACAGGCTTCCCTAGAGAGCTTAGAGCAGTGGTTCTCAACCTTGGCTGCACATTAGAATCACCTGGGAATCTTTTTTTAAAGCCTCTTTTTAAAATCCTGATTTCTGGGCCTC